TTCCCTCTCTTGGATATTCTGAGGTTCTGTATCACTGATCAGCAGTGAGAGGTGCACACAGATCTCGGATTGTTCAATATCTTTTGTGCTCCTGATGCTCTTACCATGTCTAATAATGCACAAGTCTGATCCTTCAATGATGGTAATGGGAACTGAGGTCCCACCTTTATCACAAGCTTCTACATTCCTATTTTAATATCTTTTGACAAATCCACAGCTCCTTTTTGCTGGTGGGCTGACCATTGAGCACACATTCTCTGCAGACTAATGTGTCTTTTGACGGAGCTGTAAGCCTTCCTTTTCAGTACCTCACACTGTTTCAATATCCTGTTTGATAATTTTTCTTCTCATTATGTGCCTATAAAGGGAACAGTCCTCTATTTGTTTGCTTTCTGTGATGGATGGTTTTTTTCCTTTTATCTATAATCTAACATCTATCAGAGGAAATAGCTTTCTGCAAGACCACCTAATAGACCTGGAACCTCTGAGCCCCAGTGTGGTCCCAGGTGTCACCATTAAAGCACATGAGTGCTGTACTCTTGAGTTATCCTATTGGGAAAATCCTCTTCCAAGGGAAATGATAGAAGCCAATACTCAGGATGTTTAAAACAGGAATGAGAAGAACAGAAAGGAACATAGTTACTTGATGTCCACGGAGCTTGTATGCCCCAGGAGATGTTTATTTCAGTACTTGATTTTTCTAATGCATGATTTTGTTAAAGGGAATGTTGTGTGTGCCAGTCTAAAAAGCTTAAAAGACTTATACTAACTTCAGAATTTAGTGTCCTAAACAGATGACTGTAGAGAAAAAAAATTAATTTATAAGCCACTTACCAATGCATGCCATGAATCTGGATGGTTTCTTCTAATATTTTGAGAATAATAATGATATTGCTAGCACTGTTTTGTTTGTTTGTTTGTTTGTTTGTTTGTTTTCCCAAGGACTAGATTCAAGGCAAGGAAAGAAACTGGAGGGAGAACAAAAAGTGATCCAGGTTGTCCCTGAGAGCACACAGATAGACTCATATTCATCCCATTTGGTTTTAGACACCCAGACTAGGGTTCTACATTAGAAATGTTGTGTTTCTACATTAGAAATGTGGTTTCTGTAGGCTTCTTGTCTAGGCAACAGCTAGGGAGAGATACTTCAGACCTCTCTTTTCCTTGACAATAGAGGGTGCTTAGGGAGGGTACAGCCCTCATTTCGGTATCTGAGGTTGACATAAGCCTTTGAGCCTAATTGCCCTTTTTTTTAAATTTGTGGATGTCAGTTATGCAACAAACATGAATTAAGTATTAGCTTGAACCATATTAGACCTACAAAAAAGCTCCTGCAATACAATTCTAAAGCCTATTAAAATGTGTCTCTGCAATTTGTCTCCAAGCACACTGTTGTCTCCTCCTTTCTCACCCCCCATCATTTCATTTTTCCTCTTGTTTCGTTTTTCAAGTCCTGCATGTACATAGACTGCTACTCCCTAAGTTCAGGACTCATTAGTTCTCCATGTCCTATAATGTGCCTGCAGCACTTTGGGATAATAAAATAACAGTGTGAAGTAATAGAATACTGTTCCAACTTGCAGTAAGCAAAAGGCAAAATGTTGTCTCGCTCCCATCCGAAATACAAGCAGTGCAGATTCATTTTGAATTAGCTGCCAACTGCTGAACACAGATACATTGAAGGACAGCCCCAGGCTGTGTTCAAACAGAAGTGCAGACTAAATGAATTCTTGCTTGGGCTGCTTGGAGGCAGCTGGATGTATATTGCTTGCCTCTAGGCTTATGAAGAATGACATGTTACACAGTTTTCACACCCTTTCAAATATACATGGTGCCAAAGTGACACTGGTGTGACTTGCTGCTGAAAATACTGTGTGGTTTTATGGCCTGCATTGCACCTTAGCCAGCCCCTGGCATCACTTCCCCAGAGCCAGACCAGCAGTGTGTACATTGCCCAGCAGTAGGAACAAGAAAGTCTCCTTCTCTACTCATGTTGATGTCCGGGCTTTAGTAGATAAATTAGAATTTATCAGTCAGTAGAGTTGCCCTGGTAAATTTTAGGCCTTGTGTGGGAGCCCAGGACATCCCTCTGGCTGTCCAGAGTGGCCAAGACCCCTGCCAGGGGGCCCAGAAGCCCTGGCACGGAGCCCAAAACACCTGTGGTTTTGATTATGACCCATGGAGCAAATTACCAACCTTATATGAAGATCAGCAAGCCACAAGAGTTAAGGTAGAATAATAGTGAAGTTATCACAGGGTGAAAAGGTAGATTTTGGGGTTTCTGGAATGGGGATTCAGGAGCCAAGATGGAGGGATCTGGGCATGTCCAGCCTTTCTCCTTCTTGGCCTCCATCTTCTGCTGTGATGTTGGCACTTTTAGATTGATTTAGAGTAGAAGCTCACTGTCTAACATAGGTAATAGGTATTGGACAGTAATTGTAAACATGTGGATGTAGGTTTTAGTATAAAGACATAACACCACCCTGGGGGCAGGCAGAGTGCCTGGACTGTCCTGCTGAGCAGACCTCAGCAGGGCAGGAGAAAATTTTTCATAGATAAGATACAAAAAACAACCTTGAGACCGAGAAATGAAGAGCTCTGACTCCTTCTTCAAGCTCTGGGCTGGGAAAAGAGACTTTTAACATCTCTCGGGGTCACGGCGACCAGCAAAATATCCCAAAAGGCTTGACATGCTTCAGTGGTCTCAGATCTGGGGGGAGGTTAGCCAAGCTTGGAGACAGGGATGTGCTGCTGATAGTGAGCACAAAGAACACAGAATTCACGAGCCACAAGGACATTTGGCAGAACTCACAAGATATGGATGAAACAAATAAAGCCAAGTAATTTCAGCAACTGTGCTGAAGTCAGCTCTAACTAGGTAGAAACAATTTCACTGGGGGAGATGGTGAGCATTGACTCCCAGCCCGCTGACTCGAGAGACAGGCTGGTCATTGGCATGGCAAGTGAATCATGTAGCCAGGCACAGGTGGAATACTGATCAGTAACAGAGCTGTGTGGCTGGTGGCCAATGAGCCCTGATTTCTTTGCTTGCTAAAATATGAGTGGTGTGGAGATTGATGGCTGGGGACCCAGCCTCCTGTGGGCCAGCTCCCTGCTTTGCACAAACCGGACAAAAGGAATGGGAATACCTCATCTTGGAGTGTAAATTGGTGCTGCACACGGGGCAGTGAGCCCACATTTGGGACAACAACGTCATTGCTGCCCCTGCCCCTCCCAGCTCCATAGGGGTCCTGGGTGTGATTGTTTGAGGGGTAGCTCTTGATTCATCGAGAAGTTGCTGTGGTACAGCTCTGTATGGGGTACCTGAGGGTGGCTGCTAATGACCTACACCTGTGGTCTCTGCCAGTGGGACAGAGATGTTTCCTTGCTCCTTGGCATTATCAAAGTGCCTGGGAGTACAGGATTAGCAAAAAGGAGTGAGTGAGGGGGAGCCGCAAACCCCCTCCAGCATTTCGCTTCCCAGCCTTGCCCAGATCTTTTCCAAAAACTATGAAAACCTCATGGCATGTGGTGGTATTGGTGAATCTTTTTTTATGAGTTTTTGAAGCATTCAGGTTGTGTCATCTTTCACTAGTCCAGCAGGATTGGCAAGAGTTGGGGGTGGTTCCTCATCATCTTCTCACCTAACCAGTATGAGAAGATGGCATCTGCCCTGCAGAGTGCTGAGTGCACAGCTGCGAAATATGGAGATGACTGTAATTCTTTTTTCTTCTGCAGAGACATTTCTACATTAAAACCAAAAGCAGATACTATAGATATGTGGGACTGATGTCCTTTATTCCCTTGGTTGCCTGACAGCCTAGAGTATGAGGGTGTCCTGAGAACAGGCTTAGATGGTTTCTACTTCCCCACACATCTCTTGGGAGTCAAGGCTGGTGTGGTTTCTTTAATTTAAAGCAATGTTGCAAACTTGCTGCAACTATTACATGAAACAAGGATTTAGGTTTGAATCCAAGAGCTGTGTCAGAGCTCCCTGAGCCCTTTGCCTGTTCAGGGCACTGCAGGACACACGTGCCATGTGCTTATGGTGGCAGGGGGCTCTGGTGCATGGGGTCTGTTTTGGGGACACAGTAACTATGAGGGTAGAGGCTGTGTAGCTGTGAACTCCAAACCCAAACACTCAAAGGTCATAGGTAGGGCCTCAGCAGTGGAAATGATTTTTTTTCCCTTAAATATTAAGTGATGGCATGTTTGTTTTACCTTATTATTTCTGAATCTTCAGGGCATAAATGGGTATGTTTTAATCATCTCAGAATGGGGTTTTCAGGAGTTTGGGGTTATGTGCAGCCAAAAAATTAGTTGCACTGCTGCTCAAAACACTCAATTTCTTTGACTTTCTCACAGATAATCCAGTATGCCCTGAACTAGAACCAAGGGCTGTATAGTTTTATTGAGATGTCTTCAAGAGGAAAACAGCCTACTAAAGCAAAAAGCTTTGTCATCTAAATGTTTGTATTTTGGCATTCTTTTTTTTTCCTTCTCTGACAATTGTAACTGTAGAACTACAAAAATTCTGCTCATCAAATAGAGTTCTCTTTAAAAGAACTCAAAAGCATAATCTGGAAAGCAGCATTTAGAGGACATAAACTGAGGAAGGAGAGGAGCTGAGTCAAAGTCTAGTAGAAGTAGACTTCTACTCCTCACCTGTGTCTGAAGCAGACTATTTCTTCCTTATGGAAAGCCTTCTGAGCTTTTATTTTCACATCTAGAATTAGGTAGCATGAGTAACCCCTAGATAAAAGCATAGTTACTCATTCTACTTACATATTTACTTATTCTACTTACGTGTTTTCAAAATTCACATGTGATGCCAGTTTTTCTGAAGCAATGTTCAAAACCTATTCTAGTTATTCTCTTAGCACAAAAATAGTGCTAAATGGACATTAAAATTTTCAATAAGCACAGTGTGTCAGCTTTGGTATTTTTTTCATTATCTCTTTTAGATTTAATACATTCTAATTAAAATCTTTGTCTTGCAGGTCTGAGTACAGCCGAATGTCCTCTACTAGCAGTGAGTATAACTTTGACATTCTTTTTTAAAGTGGATTATTATATTTTCTTTTGTTCTGCTTGCTAATATTTATTAACATCAACCTGGTGTTACTGACAGAGTTCACTTTGACACAGTAAAGCCTCTATTCCTTCTCCTTTTGGATCTATGTCTAGAAACAGTATAGAAAATGAAACTGTTTGAATATTTATGACCAAACACAAACCATGTGTAAAGACCTAAATATTGGCATTTGCAGGGATGCAAGGCAAAATGAGAACAAAATCTATAGACACTCTGTGGGCCAGTGTGAATGGGCCCTCAGGCCAAAGGAGTTTGCAGTGATTAATGTCATTGGAGCTGGGAAGGCAGGAATAATTGAATGTTTATTGTGAGCTGATGCCAACAAAGCACTTCAGAGCAACTCCAGTGAAGTCGGTTTTTTATTTCAGAGATGGTAGATGCACTAGTAAGTGCCACAGTCTTTCTAGATATTTACAGTGCCAGTTGATTTTCAGGCTGTCCAACTGATAAAAGACAAATTTCAGTGCCTGGATTATTTTTTCTTTATTTTTCACCAATGCAAAATGAGGATGTTTTTTTTAAGCAACGAGGAGCACTTTCACTCCATCTACTTGCTTAGTTGTAGAACACACTGCATCCACAGCACTTTGAAATGCAGCAATGCTTATTCATGCATGACTGCTGGTATCTCTCCTTGTCCAAGTGCAAAGTGATGTCTGTCTTCCTGATTCACACATAGGCATGAGCTTTATTTATGCCAAGCAATCACATCAAAAATTCCAAGATGACAAGATGTGTTTTATAATCTGGATCTTCAAGCACCATGAAAATCAGAGGGGAAGAAAGCTGTCAGGTTTTTTTCTCATTCACACATTCTGGCTGAAGTGTGGGGAGGGTTATTTTCCATCTCCCGTGGTCTTCGCTGAAGGGCTTTAATTGATTTCAACAAGAGCTGGATGAGACAGCATTCGTAATGTCTGACTCCTGAGCTGATGTGACTAGCAAGGAACTCGCTGCTTTCCCTCCATCTGCTCACTCTGTGTGTGTGTGTCTGAGAAAGAGAGAATTTAGTGCAGCTTTTTCCTGAATTCTGTTGTTTAAATTGATTTCTGGATTCTCACTGTTGGGCATAGTTTTTTAAATGATTGGGAGGCAAAATCCAGGCAATTAGCTTCTCTGTGCTAGTGAAAGTATATTGGATTTGCCTGATTGCACCAGATGTGTGGCACACCACCCTCTCAGCTCTCAGCTTCAGATGATGGCTTGGGGAATATGCTGCCAACTTCTTCCACTTTTTGGGTGGTGACTCATACTTACTTGATTAATGGAGGCAGATTAGTTCAAAGGCAAGGTGCAAGTAGAATATTTCTCATTTTAAAACTAGGTTTGAATCCCTTAAAAACTTTGCATGGCTGCTGCACATTTTACAAATAAAGGTAGCAAATTCCAATTGTAAGCCTTGGTTTTTATTAACTGAAGTATTTCTGAGGGGGATGAAGCTGTTGTTACGTGGCAACTACAGTGTGTCCTGTTATCTCTGGTCTGCTCAGTGACTTGCTGGCCACTGCTGTGCTGTGTATGTGGCCGCTGCAACTGTGCTTCAACACCAGTAATTTGTCAGTGCAAGGAGGTATTATCATTCCAGCAAAGACACACAAGTTCAGGAGACAGAAAAAGTCTCCTTCTTTCTCTTTTCTGCCTCCAAGGCAAATTATAGTGACACAGCTTCACAAGTAGCAGTATTTAGCTTTGCCTTTTGAGAGGTTTGTGTGGTTGGCTTGGTCAGACACTGCAAGAGTAACAGAAGCAGTTACATAAAAGAATTTTGGTAAAATATAAATACTTTCATGTCAGAGGCTGGTAGTGGATATGTAATGCATTTTAAAGAAAGAATGTTGTAGAACGGAGATTGAAAAAAAAAAAGGTGACTTAGACCTTTTAATTTCTTTGGGGAAAAGATTCAATAAGTGGCACCATTCACAGTACAAAAAGTAGTCTAGTCAATGATGCTGTTAGGCCCTAGTGAAGCACAAAGTAAGCTGTTGTAAATTATGAAGGAAAGAATCTCCATTACCTGCAGCTGCTTCACCTGAAGCTCCTGTTCTAATGGAGTTTTTCTAAACCAGAAGGATTACAAGAAGGATTACAGGTTAATTAGGTTTTATAGGGGTCCTATTGGGTAGTACCAGCAAGGGTCCAATTTCAGTGTTTAACAAATGAATAATCTTTTCACTTTCTGGATTAACTCCCCTGAACAATGGTTTTCCATAGACATGCCAAGAAAAGGTTAAGAAAGACTTAGCAGGTGGATCAACTACAGCTTCTATCACAGCAGCTGAACAGACTGCAGGACTTTGCACCAATGCAGAGTTGTACAGGAGCTCCAGATCCCCCAGGTCGGAAGTAAAACCTCATTGGCTGCTAAATGGCAGTGGCAGGATCATTCTGTGTCTATTTCTAGTACTTTTTTTCCCTGAGCACAAGGCAGCAGCAGCTACTGTGGTCAGTGTACTGCTCCAGCAGTTCAAAGCCCTGCCTGGTGCATTGGTTGGACCTTGGGTTTTAGGCAGCCTCTCACTTCTTTTGGTCTTTGCCCTTGTGTCCCAGCTTCAGACAACCAAAAACTGCTTTTTGCTGGCAGCATTCATCTAATGCTTGTGGTTTTGTACAGAAGGTAATGTGGGGAAGAGTACCAAAGTTTGCAGAGCGTGTGTATTTCAGCAAGAAATGGCAGCGGGTGCCTGCTGTGCTGAGGCTGTTGTCAGGGTGACTGTGTGCCACTTGGCCTTGTCTTATTGAGTTGGAAAAAAAGGTCACACAAACCTGTCTGCAGAATGATGCATCCGGAGGTATTACAGCTTTCAAAGGTTCAGCAGTATGATTTCAGTAAAGAGGAATGCCTTTTCTTTTTTTTTTACCTGAATGCCAGTGTATGTAGTTACTTTTTCCTTTGTTCTTTAGGAAGAAGAGTGCTTTGTCTTGTTGAGATATTTTGCCTACTGGTGTGGTCTTCATTAATCTAGGAAATGTATTAACCTTCATTTTCCTCATATTTTCAATTACCTTTTCAGTTGTGGTGTTCAGTTTCCATTAGGGATCCCTAATTCCATATGAGAGAGAATTGTGCTAGGCACTTTACACCCACAGAAGGGACCTTTACATAATGCCAAAATATAAAGACCATTAGTGGCATATGGATACAGACAGACAGAATCACAAAGAAATAATTAATTAGTGTTGGTGGGCACAATAAACAGCAGTCTCCATACATCATAATTTTTATTATCTTCAGATTGCTTTGAGCTATGTGTTTCAGAGATGATTTTCAACTAGGGAGGAGGAGTTTTGATGGAGGATGCTTATTGCCTCTTCTGCTTAATTTTTGCATTGATGAAAATGGCTTTTCAGAAAGACCCAAACCAGAAATGGACGTTTTGAAACATGACTTTTGTCATTTGTAACATTCACAAAGGATGAGGGGAAATGGTCTTAAATTACACCAGGGGCAGTTTATATTAGATATTAGGAAAAATTTATTCACTGAAATTGTGGTCAGGCATTGGAGTAGGCTGCCCAGGGAAGTGGTGGGGTCACCATCCCTGGAACTGTGTGGATGTGGCACTTGAGGATGTGGTTTAGTGATGAGCAGGGCAGTACTGTGTTAATGATTGGATTGAATGATCTTAGAGGTACTTTCCAAACTCAATGATTCTATGATTTGGAGTATTCCACACCTAGTCAGCCTTGGAGCCAATATAAGTAGGTTGTCTTAGAAATAATTGTGGAAGTGAATGATTTTTTTCTTTTTCTTTAACCATTTTTAGCCTGACAGTCAGGTAACTGGTAAATTAAATATAAAAATGGCCCTATGGGATAATATGCAAGTTTCTGGAAGAGTTTAGAGCATTTGAAATTGTAGAACCCAGCAGTATGCTGTAGTTCAGGTTGTGCTTCTCAGTGAGGTAAAAAGCTTGTCACTCACTTGCTCTGCAGTTGGAAAGCTGGTAATTCACCTTCCCCTGCTCCCCTGCCTTTCCTTCAGCAGCTAGGAAACAATCAAGTCCTTGTAGGGTGTTCATATTCTTTTGTGGTAAACCTGGGAGCTGGGGCATTAAAATTTTTATTTCCATGTTTCACATACCCATGTTCCTAGCCCATGGAATTTCACCCACTTTCTGGTTCTAGAAATTGAACACAAGAAGGTTTGTTTTGGCAGGTATAAAATATGTGGGTTACTGCACATGTTTCTTTTTAATAAATGCTCTGTTTGATATTCTGTTCCTACAGTGGTATAAATTCAGATTATTGTTTGGGGATTTGGTCACGGTTTGGTCAACATTTTGTCAGTGTCATCGGCATCAGCTCCCCGGGCTTGTGACCCTGTGGGAGCCCTCACTAGAGCAGGTTCCTGCCAGGCCCTGCAGAGCCCTGAAGAGAGGAGCCCACACTGGAGCAGGTTTGCTGGCAGAGCTGGCGACCCATGGGGGGCCCGTGCTGGAGCCCGTCCCTGAAAGCCTGCGCTCCACAGGAGGAACCCACGCTGAAGCAGCTTGGGAAGAACGGCAGCCCATGGGAAGGACTCACTCATGTTGGAGACGTTCATGGAGGACTCTCTCCCATGGGAGGAACCCCACCCTGGAGCAGTGGAGGGACTCTTCTCCCTGAGAAGGAAGCAGCAGCAGAAACGATGCAATGGACTGACTGTAACCCCCATTTCCCATCCCTATGGGCCACTGCAGGGAAGGAGGTGCAGAGTTGGGAATAAATTTAATACCAGGAAGGAGGGAGGGGTGGAGGAAGGTGCTTTTAAGATTTTTTTTTACTTCCTATTATCCTACTTTGATTCTGATTTGTAGTAAATTCAATTAATTTCCCAAAATCAAATCTGTTTTTCTCATGACAGTAAGTGATGACTGATCTCTCCCTGTCCATAACTCATGACCCTTTCATTAAATTTTCTCTGCCCTGCCCAGCAGAAGAGGAGAGCGATGGTGTGG